GGACAGCCATTTGTCTGAAATGGTATAGGGTTTCCTGCCTGAGCAGGGGGTTGGACTAGATGACCTCCAAGGTCCCTTCCAACTTTTTATTATTATTATTATTATTATTATTATTATTATTATTATTATTATTATTATTATTATTATTATTATTATTATTATTATTATTATTATTATTATTATTATTATTATTATTATTTCAATTCCCAGAATTTAATTGGCTGGGGAATTCTGGGAGTTGAAGTCAAGGCATCTTCCAGCCATCAAAGTTGAGAAGCATTGATTTACAGTCATGCCAAAAGGGACCGAGGTGTATTTGTCGCTTAGACTGACCATAAACAGGTGTTTTCCCAGGTAAAATGACAACCACGAGCTGCAAGCCAGCATAGGTGTTCTTCAGGTGACGGAACATGGGTTCCACACTGTCTGCTCCCTGGGCATATTTACAGAAACAAGGTTGACCCTGGATGGGCATTCCTGCGTCTCTGGATATCTTCCTCAGTTGTTCCGTGAAGGTTCTGGAACATTAAAAAAATATCAACAACACATTTTAAGAGCAGGAACCAAAGTTGTACATAGCCGTGTTACAGAGGTGACATTCTTTTTTTTATATAACAAATTGTATTGGTTTTTTAACTTTTACAACAGAATGCTCAAGACACACTGTGGTGGTTAGGTGATCAATCATCCAAAAACAAAATCATATAATAGCTCAAGTAAATACATTAAATGTTCCCTCTCTATTTCCCTCAAACAATATAACCTATTTAACATAATCCATTTCTACATTACATATCTATAAATCCTAATCATGTTTTGAACTTTATTAATTTACAGTTACCATAGTCCAATTTAATCTTAGATAAACGTATTATTACTTCGGGTATCCCTTCTAAAATACTAATCCAGATATATTCTAATTCATAATCTCATAAATCGTTGATTTTATCACAAATCTCTCTTATTTCTTCAGATAGCATTTAAATCTCATTCAAATAATTATCATGTCTAAAAAAAAGAACACACCTATTATTACACAAAACATCGTCTTACTAACTTAACACACTCAATTAGTTGTTAAAGCAATCCGAATTTCTAAAAACCTCTTTCATATTCTTATTCTCATTCCATTACAAAATAATTTTCATACAAATAAACATATTATTCCAAAAAGTACATTCTTACTCTGTTTAACATATATATTCTAATAATCACAAATTTTCAACTCTAAATCTTAGTCCTTAA